TCTTAGTCTCTACACTGGCATTGTTCCTCATCAGTACTCTGGAGAGGTCCTTGACAGTAGATTTTCCCAATGTAATTAATCTTTTGATTTCCTGGATGCTGGTACCAAGAGTGTGGATTGTGAACCCAAGCAAGCTGAAACAATTAGCAATCTCAGTCTCTTTACTGTCTATCATGATGCTGCTAATTGGCCTAGTGGGGAGAATCTTTGTTTTCTTGATGTTGGGATTTGATCCATATTGAAGGCTGTAGTCCTTGACCTTCTGCAGCAAACATCTCAAGTCCTCCTTATTTTCAGCAAGCAAGGTTGTGGCATCTGCATAATGCAAGTTGATGAGTCTTCCTCCAATCCTGATGCCACATTCCTCCTCAGAAAGTCCAGCTTCTTGAATGATTTTCGCCACATATAGATTGAAAAGGTATGGAGATAGGACACATCCCTGGCATGCACCTTTTCCAATTTTAAACCATGCAGTGTTTCCTTGCTCTGTTCTGACGAATGCCTCATGGCTCAAGTATAGGTTTTGCATCAGCACAATCAAGTGTTTTGGGATTCCTATTCTACTCAAAGTTAGCCACAATTTGTTGTGATCCACACAGTCAAATGCCTTTGCATAGTCAATGAAACACAGATAAACACTCCTCTGGTACTCTCTGCTTTCAGTTATGATCCGTCTAACATTGGCTAGAATGCGCTAGTGCCGTGGACTCTTTTAAATCTAACCTGAACATCTGACAGTTCTCTGATGATGTATTGTACCTATCATTTTTGGATAATCTTCAGCAAGATCTTCCTTTCATGTGATATTAATGATATTGTTCAATAATTTCAACACTGTTAGATCACCATTGTTTGAAATGGGAAGAAATATGGATCTCTTCCAGTCAGTTGGCCAGGTAGTTGTCCTCCAGATTTCTTGATACAACCTAGTGAGCACATCCAGGACAGCATCTGCATGTTGTAATATATTAATTGGTATACTGTAAATTCCTGGGCCTTGTTTTTTTCAATTCCTTCAGAGCAGCTTGAACTTCTTCCTTAATTACCATTGCCTCTTTATCATACTATGTTTTATTAAGTTCATCTGTATCAGCCAATTCTTTTTAGTATAGTGACTCTGTGTACTCCTCCCATCTTCTTTTGATGATTTCTGGATCATTCATCATTCATCCCACAGCATCCTTAAGTATGGCAACTCAAGTCTTGAATTTATTCTTCAGTTCCTTCAGCATAAGATCCCAAGTGAGTTCATCCCTTTTGTTTTTCAAACTCCAGCTGTTTGCACATTTCATTATAATGCGTTGCTTTGTCTTCCCATGCTGCCCTTTGAATGTGTGCACCAGATCTGAATCTTTTTACTACACCTATTCAATCTGTATGCTGAGCAAATAATTTGAAAAGCTGGACTTTATAGAGAAGAATGTGGCTTCAGGAGCTCTTCTGGCCTAGTGGCAAGAAGCTGTGCTGCAATCTCGGAGGCACACAGTTTGAATCCACCAGGTGCTTCACAGGAAAAGGATGGGCAATCTCCTCCCGTGTGATTTACTGCCTCTGAAAACCCCTGCTGGGTCAGTTATGAGTCAGTTCTGACTCCCAACACACAACAACAACAACAACAACAATCTTTCAATTAGTAGACAAACAGTTGAACACTGTGTCACTAGGATTCCCAGGCTTTAAAAACTCTTCCTAAATCAATCCATTCAACTTTAGACACCCAATCATTTTGAATCTCTGAGCCCAGCTTTGAGAAGATCTCCACTACCACCAACTTCATCTATGGACCAGGTGGCTTGCATCGAACTGATCTCATCCCTTACTTCCTTCCAATGGCCACTTTGTACCACAGGCACATCTGAGTGCAAATTTTGATTTAGGACATTACTCTGTTCTTTACTTGTTATCTTCAAGGGCCATCTCAACCTAGAGCGACTGATGGCCATCATTAGAACCTGCAGGAAGAAAACAGTCTGAGAATGAAGTAACTATCCAGATGAAAACAGAGCTCAAACAAAAAAAGAAACAATCAAAAACTCCAAGTGAACCATGACTTGACTCTGGTCTCCAGACCTACCTCTTCTCTAAGCTAGCTGTTTGTGGGTTTCCTAACTTTGTGGGTAATTAAAGTCCATTGTTGTTGTTGTTATGAGCTGTCGAGTCGTTTGTGACTCATAACAGCCCTAAACCGGCTCTATCCTGTGCCAATCGCATTGCCTCTGACACACTCATCCTGATTACCCCAGTCACTGAATCAATCCACCTCATAGAGGGTCTTCCCCTCCTGCGCTGTCCCTCCATCCTACCAAGCATGATGTCCCTCTCCT